GTGACCAGAAGGTAATAACCATGATGTTTCTCCCCCTTTTCACATTCATTTTCCCTGGCCACCTGAAGAGAGGAGGTGGTCCAGTGGGCATGTGAACTACCAACAGTCTTCAGCTGCTGAAACGTCTTTGCCCTCCCAAGTTCTCCTGTCAGTGTTAACTCAGTCTGCAGATGTTCAGATTGTTAGCACTCGTGTCCCATCATTGCTGCATCTCTGAAGGGACGCAGTTGTCCCAGACAAAGTGGAGAAGCTTGTCCTGAGGCATGCTTTTGTTCTGGGAGCCAGTGGCACCTATGCTACTGGCTTCAGCCATTATAGGTTTGTAATCTTAACAGAAGCAGAGGAGATCTATACCCACAGCTTCCACAAAAATTAGGTGTATTTAAAATGCAGCCTTTCTTCTTGGCTTTGTAGCTGTGCTAGAAAGTCATTACCATGGATTTATTTTTCCTTATCTCTTGGATTATCATCGACTTCCTTCCTGAATGAATGAATTTATCCAGTGTTCCGATTACAGCTTCATTTTTTGATCACCTCCTGTCTGAGGGGCTTAAGATTTTGTATGTTTAGCATAATTGAGCTGAGAATTTTGCAGCAATAGATAGTGAAGATAATTTTCCACCTATTGATGGACTGGTTATGGTGAATCTTTTTCCAGTGTACTCACTTTGGCAATTTGCTGTTTTGATTACTGACCTCCTTTATTTTATTTGTCCTTGTGTTTAACTTTATTTTTTGCCATTAAGCCACATATTAATCTGACTTCGGAGAAGGAAAATGGAGGTTTTAAGAAACTTCCAAGGAGATTCAGACAGCTGGTCAAAAATAAATCCAGTATGCAGACAGGATCATGAATATCTCAGAAAACAGCCATTTAAAAGACCAGGGCAACAATTATCTGTTTAGTCTCTTTCTTCGAACTGGGCTTGGAATTTGATTGTTGGGTATTGGTTATTTCTGGGCTTATGTAACAATTACACACGGAACAGGGAGGAAAGAACAACAAAAAATTAGGTAGATGTTTAAGAGAAAGTGGTATTACATGATTTTAAAACAAAAAAGTCCTTAAGTTGCATGAGACTGCAACTGACAATGTTTTACAGGGGCTGATGGTCATTAGAACTAGGGGGTCATCATCTTTCCAGAGCTGAACTGCTTTCTTCTGTGTGCATGGGGGTTTGGGGAGAGGTGTGAGTTTGGTGTACCTGGGATGTGGTAGTTGAACTAGGAGGAGCTTTTTTAAGGCTTTCTGTGAACTAGGAGAAATTAACATTTTTACATGTAGAAATGTAAAATAACATCTTACATTGTTATGAAGGACAGTTGTATCTTACTGTGTGTTAACTGGCTGACATTTACTCTGCACAAGTTATAAAGCATTTTATATTGAAAATGCATCAGCCTACAGACTTATCCCAAAGCCTGAATCCTGTATGATTCACATAGTTCTATTTTCTTTTGGTCTGTGTATGCTCTTCCTCAATAATAGAAGGATTTTCCACTAATTATTATTGAAATAGGACATTTTTAATTATAAAGTAAGTATCAACACGGCTTTATGTAAGAATGATGGTGGTGTGTGATATAAACCACTTTATTTCAGTGCAAGTGTCTGCATATACCAGCTGCTGGAGCACATTAATCAATTTTTGAAAAATAACCCTTTCAGAAGCTGCATAGACAAGCCCTGCCTGCTTGCCTGAGGAAAGATGATAAATTAATCTAAATATTAAACGCCAGTTGAGTTGATTAATTTTTAATGAAGACAATGAAAAACTGGTTTTGCTTGTATTCCCTGGAACATGCTTTCAAAAGCTTTGCTTTTCCAGAATTGTGTTTTTCCTGTGTGTGTGGCACAGGATGTGACTTGGTTCGCAGCAGGTAGGTTCATTAGCTGGCGTTTCTGGTATAATATCCAGCTGTGGAAAGCTTATAAAATGTTGGTATTTAGGTCATCTTAATTAGGCCTCAAAATACAGATTGAAGATAAAGAGGAATAATTGCACATAATTCATTGTGGCTGAGCCTCTTCAGTGAAAAGAGGGTGCAGGAAGTATGAACTGATTTCAGCAGAGTTGCTGCAGATCTGCCTCACTGGTGCTCCTGTGATTGTACAGGGAGCCAAACAGATTAAAACTAATGATTTTGGGAAGAGGTGAAAGATTTGGCAGGTTTCAGGTGCGTTGTATGCTGGACTTGATATCCTTGCTCTCATGATGCCAGCACAGGGAGGGGATTGGCCTGGGGCAGCCCCCATTTGTATCACTGCAGGCTTCTGCGTGACCCGTGCTGCTTCATTGCTGATGATTATTTTGGTGGGGGGGCAGGTATCTGCTTTCGTCCTTACAGGCTGAATTTATCCAGAGTTATGCTTATGTTCACACTAGGTTGAAAGGGAGTGTCAGTGCTCCTCTCCCATACTTGAGTGAGCAGAGAGCTTCTCTCCTTCTCTGTGCAGACTCGCTTGTCATATTAGGACCCCAGAATACCGCAAAATCACTGCTGGTGAAAACCAGTGTGAGCTCCGGTGCCAAGAGGGGTGGCAGCAAGTCTTATCCAGCCTGTGTTGCATTCAAGGTTGGCAAGCAAAAACCAGGAGGCAGCATCCCTGGTTCTGGGTTTAAGCAGTTGAGACCAGTGGGGGGAAGCCAGAGGAATCTGAACAGTCACCAGGCAACTGGATGACCAGCTGATGAAATGCAGGTGTGTGTTTTTCAGCCAACCAAGGCATCTGCCTCAGTAACAGATGCAAATTTAGGATGTTCAAACCCATCTCTGCCAAGCCATTGGCAATGAAATTGAGGATGGTGCATAACTTTGGGTGAGGAAACACTTGGAGGAGGATTGCAGTGGTGGCTGGAATATGCATCTGTTGTTGTACAAGTGCCTTATGGCATCTACAGGTAATACTGCGTGACTAGTTTGGTAAATTTAATACAAAGAAGGTGGCACAGTTGTACTGTTGTTTATCTCCCTTTGACTACAACATAGCAAGTATGCTTTTGGTGTTGTAACACCACAAGATGGGAGGGTACCATCATTTAAGTGTGTTATTAAGCTAATGAGAGATAAAGAGGTACTAAAAAGCAACAGCAGTCATCTGCTACATCAGTGGTGCTTCCAACTTTTGTTTATAGGCCAATGTAACTGAAAATGGAGGGGGAGCTCCTCCTGATCTGAATTTCTCCCTATAAAAGCATGTCTGTGTCCTCTGAATTTAATGGAGCTGAGGGAGCACTCATGGGTGCAGGAGACAGATATTTGGTCTCTTCTTCATTGTCCATCCAAGCAAATTCAGCACACCCTGAAACGCAGGCTTTATTTTTTTCTTAGCATTTTGAAGATGTATCTTATCTTGCACCATATCTAAAATTATAGTTTTGACAAAGCCTGAGGGGATTTGGGTTTGCATATTTTCCTAAGAGGATTATGTTTCACACTTAGTTGCTCTATAAATTGAGGGGTTTTTTTATGATTTTCTAAGTACACAAAAAGCCGCATACACATTCAAACTGTCCTGAAATGTGTTGTCTGGGGGTTAGTGATGGAAATCTGGTGTTTGAACTAGTAGTAAACTGAATTACTGAGCCTCAGGGTTATTTTGAACTGAAAAACATTTTGGTAATCAGATTTGCATCACGGCTGCAGGAACAGTTGTAGCAGCACAACTGGAGTGGCTAGCAAATTGCAAGAGGGATTAGAAACTGCTTATACTGGCATCAGAGAAAGCAATTTAATGTGAAAATACAGCCCCGGAATAAATCAGTGAGCACCCTTGAAAGCACAGGCATGCTCATAACACACGGAGATTCTGGAAACTCTGTACTTGCAGATGAAGGCATTAAGGCAGCTTGGTGGGAAGGCTAATTGGGTAATAATTATTAAAATAATTGATATATGCATATACATGATAATATATTATTAGTAGGTAGTTGGGGAAAAATAGTGGCAGTCTATGAAGACTTATCATTTAAGTTCATACTCATAAAATCACTGGTGAGGTATGTACACCTCAGCAATGGCCCCTAGGAGTGATGGCTGCTGACACTCCTCATGCTAGCTGGGTGCTGTGGCATGGTGCCTTCGCTCTGCTGGCTTTCACATCCACCGATGGGGTCATTTTGATGCTTACTAGCTTAATTTTTTATTATGTGGGCTGTATCTTACACATTCATTTTTTTGTATTTACGGTGGCTTTTGGAGGGCTGGGTGCAGCTCCTCGTTTTGTGCTACCATTGGGGTGTTTGGAGGTTGTGCAGCAGCAATTGCTGGGCTTCTTCCCTGCCCTTTTTTGGAACAGTCAGAAAACTTGAACTACTAAGAATTCCTTACTTCATTTCACTGGAGATGGAGGAGGGATCTGGCTCAGCCATGGAAAACTGATTAAAACAGGACTAAACTCATCTGTGCTGCTCAGAGGGATGGTCAGAGCTCCCTTTGAAACTGCAGGTTTGTGCCCAGTGCTGCTGGCTCCGTCATTTTTCATCTCTCTTCAGTCACTCCTCACAGGAGTGATGAGATGGGTATCACTGAGAAATGAAGGGCATTTATATGGTAAAAAGGTCAAAGGGCAAAGAGAACTGTTCCCTGTGGCAGTGCAAATGACAGGCAGTCTCTGTAGTTCTACGTCTTCGTTGTTTTATCAAAGAACTGTACTCGTAGCATTGCAAACTATAACACAGCAAATGTGGGACTGGTGGTAGGTCGGTGTTAAACCCTTGAAGGAAGGGTTTAAATCTGAAAGCACAAACTGAGGAGGAGCTGTTAGGAAGTTTCAACCTCTGTTTTGCTATAGAAGCTTGTATGGAGTAAGTTTGCTTTGGTTGGCACCAAATAAATTTAGTGAGATAAGCAGAATGGATCAACATTTATTAATCTCCAAAGGAATGGCGTGGCTAGTGAACGGTGATTTGTGAGCTTTACTGAAGAACAGCTCTGAGGACTTCCTCATGCCCTCTAACCAGCGGTGTTGTTTTGTGTTCTGTTTTCTCTGCAGACGTCGGCTGATCTCCCAGCGATCTTCTCTGGAGACTCTGGAGGACATCGAGGAAAACGCCCCACTGCGGAGGTCTTTTTATTCGCTTTCTCTCTGGTTACTTGTCTGTAAGGCACATGCATGGGTAGGCTTGCTGTCTGTTCCCATGTGTAAAAGTAGCTGGGTGTTTGCATTAAGATGTTCTTCATAGTGGGCAAAGGTATTGAAACCTCACACACCCTGCAAGGTGGTAGGTGACATAAATTACACGTTCCCTGGCTGAGGTTATTAAATAAAAAGTCAGTATTTAAATAAAATGTCAGGAAATAAAAAAGGTTCAAGTGATAGAAAAGTTTAGGTGTTGCTAATGTGACTAGCCCCTAATGTAAGTTGTAATTTTTAACGAGTGAGTACAGCTGGTTTGATAAAGTAAGCTTCTGAAGGCTAGTATTTTTAGTATTCTTAATTTTTATGGACTTTTATCATTCGTTCTCTCAGCACGTGCAATCTTGTTTCATCAACTAGCTTTACTGTCTTTGCATGTTGGCTGGTGTTTTTGTGACTGCCACCTCACTAATAAACCTGCCCCTACCATTGTTCTATCAGCAGCTTCAGTGCAGTTCTATTTCTGCATCCAGGAGACCACAGCTTCTATGGGGACTGCAGTAATTAATCTAGGGAACGCTCTGGGGTTATGGGAAATGAAGCAACTGCTTAATAGTTCAGAAGCAGACTGATCAGTGATCTGACCAGTGCATGGTATGCTTCCAGGTCAGCTGTTCGGCAAGGGGGCAGCTGAATTTTTGATGTTTCTTTATCTTGGAACGTGTAATCCAGCTGGTTTATATCAGTGTTTAGCCTATGGCATTGTTCATCCACATGCAGATCGGCTGTCTCTTCCCCACCTCAAAGGAAAGACTTAATAGCAGAGGCTGTACCAATTGGCCTATTACTAAGGCTTGATTATTTTTACAAAGTTTACCATTGAATGCTTACCAGCATGTCATGAAGCATTCTCATAAATTATTCAAACACATATAATTGGCATAAGATATAAACAAAGTGTGGTTTGCGAGGCAGTATTTTTACTTGCTAATTTGCAGAATTGGTGGTGGATCCTCTCTCTTGACAGTATTTTCCCGTGAAGAAGCTAACAAGGCTAATTGCAAACAGAGGGTGAGGGAATCTCAAGGATTTTACTAGCAGGAGGAAGGCAGAAATGGCCAAGTGATGTGTGCCTATGCAGCATGATGGCATTTGGTGGTTTCAAACGAAAGGACCTCTTGGGCTTGGGAAGCTGGTAAACTCTGCCTGTACATGGGAGAAGATGGGAAATGTAGGTTAAGGATGCTCAATACAGAGGGACTGTGCTGGTCCCGTGCGCTGGTAGTGCATTTTACACATGGTTTTTTCAGGATTGCTTGTACACTGTAAAGAAAGAAGCAATTCTTCACTATGAGGGTGCTGAGGCCCTGGCACAGGTTGCCCAGAGAAGCTGTAGCTGCCCTGTCCCTGTCAGTGTTCAAGGCCGCGTTGGACGGGGCTTGGAGCAACCTGGTCTAGTGAGAGGGGTCCCTGCCTGTGGTGGTGGGGGTTGGAACTAGATGATCTTTAAGGTCCCTTCCAACCCAGACCATCCTATGATTCTATGCTTGTCCCTTAGCTCCCACGGAGGGTGCAGTGGCTGTGGTCCAGCAGCCCTGGCCACGCAGAGCGCAGTTATCTCTAATGTCTGTGCACCATGCCTTGTATCAAAACAGCATACGGATGAAACAGAGAAAGCTTTCACATGTGTTGTGGTTTCAGCTGGTTAAAAAGAGCAAGGCTGGAAGAGGGTGGGGAATATTGCTGTTTGTCTCATCTCTCCTCCCTCTGGCTATTTCTTTCTGTAACTACAATTTTAAAAGTACGTTCAGATGTAAAACAGTTTTAAGGATTAATGTTAAGAAGAATGATGGGTTTTTTTTCCTGAGGTAATTAATTTCATTTTCAATTGGTTTGTATGCTGTCAGGAACGTGAAAATTAATATTTAGAGTTCAAAGCAAATAGGAATTATCCTTCCAAATTAGAGATTTTAAATCTTTCTAAAATTAAAAGAAGAAAGAACTTTCCTCAGTACTCCATTAGCAATAGCTGAGAAGAATGGGACACAAAAGTTTGGGGGTTGGAATGAATGGGAAAATCACATATTTGCCAGGTTTTGGTTTAATTTGTTTTTTCCTTTGAAAGCTTTGACTAAGCTGTCACAGCAGATTACAGGAAATTTTATTTTGCTCAGATTTTTTTATGATGTGGGTTTTTTTTTGCGTTGGGGGAAGGGGTGCCTTTTCTTAGTATTTCAAATATCTTTTTTTTTTATTTGAGCTGTCACGTTTCCAGACTTACTGTCTTTATTGTTCTTGCCTATTCCTAACACAGGGTGACTTGAATCATTTGTCTCGTCTTTCCTTCCTGCCTTTGTGTAGGCTTCTTGTCCGTACAGCAGGGAACTGAACACTTTTTTTTCCTCCCTCCCTTCTCCCTCCAACTGATATATTTTTCAGGTGTCGGACACTCTCAGGATCACCCAGACCAAAGAACTTTAAGAAGGTTCATTTTATCAAGAACATGCGGCAGCACGATACCAGAAATGGCAGGTACTGTGCATGCAAAGGCTGCTTCTGCAAAGCCGATCCATGGGGCATGAGGGAAAGGGTAGGGTCAGCATCCCTGTGCAAGAGCACAGTGTGCCAATGCCACTTATCACATGCATAGTAATAGCCTTTAAAATAGTCCATGAAGGTGCAGGCTGCAGTGTACGCTTCCTTGAGTGAAGCACGAGTCAATGGAAGTGCTAGCCTATGGAATTTTAAGACCTGTGTGTCCTTAATACAAATCCCATATAAAAGGAAAATCTGTGGTGCTCTTGCAGTGAACTAGGCATAATCTGGTTGCATTTTTTCAAAAGTAGTGCTAAGTGTGAGAGGGGCACATGCCCAAACCTGCCAGGAGCAAGTTTAGCAATGGCTGAATGATACTTCAACATCTATCAGTTGGATGCTGGGTGGCAAGCACGCAGGTGGGGATGGTTGTGGCAAGGCGAGGAGTGGGATCCATGTCTTCAGGGCAGACGCAGGCAGAGGGGCTCCCTTGGGATGTGTGAGGGGTGCACCCTGAGCTGGGAAGTGCACTGCCCAGACTGCTGCCATAGGCACCGTCTGACCTGACTGTACAGCAGTGGCATGGTGCCTGTTGTGATGCAAAATAGGTTCTTTATTGCAGTATCATCCAGCTCAGAAGTGAAACTAGCTCCTCCCTGCTTATGAAGAAGACAGCTGCCCTCTCTGGTGTTTTTCCCTGTGTGCTTCATGATTTTATTCTTGCCCTTCCAAACCTGAATAGGTTTGAAATAGGCTACTTGAATAGGTTGGTTAGAGACCACGTATATTCCCAGTGAGAGTTGGCCCTTACATATGCCTGTTCTCATAAAACTGCAGTGGGTGAGAAGCATGTATGTTGCTGTGGACTGACTTGTGCACATACCCTATGGTTTCCGTCAAATGTGGAACCAGGTCAATAGAAATTCTGACATTACATTGAACCACAGGTTTTATGACTTGAATTCTGGTAGGTGTTACATGGCTCAAGCAAAATTTCCCTCATGCTTATTCTCAGGCATACAATTAAATGCAATGAAGGGTAATAATCAACAGAAATATTGCAGAAGGTGGCTCCGAGGGATGGCAGCTTTTTAGAAACAGCTTTTGGAGCAAACAAACGCATGAAGAACTGTTGACTATTGTCTACCTAGCAGCTGATTATTGTCTTTACAACAAATACATGTGGAATCAAACACTGAAAAGCAGACCTCTAATTTTAGTCTGTTTTGTGCATAAATAGATGTGCTCTGGGAATTTCTTACAGCAAAAAATACTTATTCATAAGGTATTATGCAAATTCCACAGATAACGAGTGCTTTCTGAGATATGCAGATAAAATACATGCATAAATTTGATTGATAGAAATATTACCTGTGAAAAAAATGAATAAATATTTGATTTGTAAACTGTTTTCTCCATCTTTTGGAAAAAAAATACGTGTAGGATATTTGCAGCATTTTATCTTAATTCATAGATCTGTCATTACATCTGACAATATAACCGAGTATTTTTCTTGTTAAGAAAACAGTAAGTAAGCTGTTATTCAGCTGGCTTATCTTCATCAGCACAGTTTTCCAGAATATTCCCATACTCATAATAAAGATCTCTTTATCTGGACCACAGACACAGTAAGAATAAGGTACACAGTTTTGAAAATGCTTTTTGTCCTATGGACAAAGAGCCACAGAGATATTAGCTAAAAATAAAATGCAGAGTCAACACTTCGTGTTGCCTCTATGGCCAGCTCAGTCTAGCAGTAAGCAATCTGAGCTCATACCCTCTTTTTCCGAGGGGTCTGTATGCTGTTGCAGTCACTGAAGTTATTGGGAAAGTAATAAGCATTGGATCTGCTTTATGCATACATCATAAAATCAACAGTTTCTGAGTACGTTAAGACCTTTAAAGCTGGTGTCCTCCCCAGTTCCCTGTGACAAAGAGGAGTACAGGTATTGCAGTGGATAGAAAACCTTCCTGGGGCTCCTTTCCATGCCCAGGACCTCATCCCACGTGGCTCATGCATGACTGTGCAGGATGTGGGTGCTGAACCAAACTGGAGTCAGGCTCTCTGTGAAACCTCTGACCCTTCTGTCACAGCATGTTAGCTTTCCACTTAACTTGAGGAACCCAACTTTGAAAACATCTACACAGAATATATTTGTGAGTGGTGAATTTGATAGCTGGGCTTTAAAATGGCTAGCACCTTCAGTAATTGTTTCACTTGTGACTGTGTCACAACAAACTGCAGTGCGGAGGGTAGCTCCGGGTTCCTTTCTCTGTTGACTGCCCTTATTTGTGGCTCTCAACCTGTAAAGTGATGTGTCCTTGTGCTGTGGCACTGAGAGGTTTTCCCCTTTCAACCTCAGGGATGGCACATGCTGAGCAGTGATGCTCTCGGTCCAGCCTTTGGTGGTCCAGGGCCAAGGTAGGACTGGCTGTGGTTAAAATAAGAGTTCACCTATTTAGGACAGAATAAAACCACCTATACACAGACCTCTCCTTATCAGCTAGTCCTTGTAAAGCTTCCTGTTGATGGTTCTGTGCACTGGTTAAACCGGTTTCTTCAGATTTGTAGGACCTGGCTAATTAAAGGAAATTGAGGTTTCCTAGACTGTATTATCAAAAAGCAGTCTTGTTAAATAGCACAAAATAAATTTCCACATTACACGACAAAGACAAGTCAACCTAACATACAAATTAGCACAGATAGCCACCAGTGTGTGGTTTCACCCACATTACTCAGCAGGTTTGTTGGTGGCGTCTTCCATAAACTGTGAAGCAGATTTCCTATCCAGCAGAAACAGGCCACCAAAACAGCAACCTGAGCCAGCTGAACAAGCAATACATGGTGAGAATGTGACAAGACGATTTCTAGAGTCATCCTATATAGCAGATATAAAAGCAGTAAAACAATGCTCCTTTCCCACCCCCATACCATTGCTTTCTCAATTTTTTTGTTAGCATACAGATCTAAGCCAAGGCCAAACAGCATCCATAGGCTACGAAAGGTCTCTTTTGCTGCTCTTTTCATTGTGGAAATGCACACACATGAACTCTTAAGAGGCTGACTATTCTCAGTATCCTCACAGTTCATAATTACTCTCAGCTACCTTCCAATAGCCTCATCTTGAACTTGGGAGACTCGAAAATGATAGCTGCTACCCAGACAGCATCCATGGTTTGTGTGTTCACCTTTGCATGCAGGGTAGCAAAACCCTGGTAGTCAGATGTCATCTATCAGGTATGAGAAAAGAGGCTACAGTATTTCACAGGTAAATGGTAAATATCGTGTGTATCCTGTTGCCTGTTCTCAACCTTTTGGTGAAACACAATCAATTAAACCTAGAAAGGTGCTAAAGAGAACAGACATTCTTCTTCTTCAGGTCAAGTGGATTACTGATTCTGCCAAGAGCCTTGTGCTCACTCAGGTTTTATAGTTTTGTAGCATACACCTCATTAAAGAAACTGGAAGATTAGCTTTTACAGTCTCAGACAGTTGGACATTGTCAGAGCTCTCTTGCAAAGTAATGGTTGCTCTGAACTGTGGTAATTAGTACAACTTCTTGGTGAAATGTGAGAATTAGAGGATGAAAACCTTTTCATGAAGTAATTTTGAACATGTCTGGGTGGCACAATGGCAGTCAGGACATGTAAACCCACTCTGACTCAGGCTGCTTCTGATGTCTTATTCAGAGGTACACAAGACTGTAGACGCCCTTTGTTGAAGAGCTGAAATCCAGGAAAATGCTTCTCTCCCATAAAAAATGATTCAGTTTTCCTGAACAGCAATGGGCTTCTGCCACACCTTCTTCTCCAAAGCATGCTTTGTGACAAGTTTCTGAACCTTCTGCCCCAGCAAACCACTGCAGGCCCTCAAGATTTGTTTTCTGTGTATATCATCAGACCTCTAAATAAAACACCATTTTGTCCCTCAGTGGTGAGCTTCTGACCACTGCCTTCCCAGCTTCTCTTCCAGTCCAGCTCCTAAGGCTGTTTTGCATCAGCCCCCGTCAGCAGCTCTGCAGATGAGGTTTTGTGTCATCCTGGCAGTGGAGGCCATGGGCTCCTCTCCCACTCTGCCTGGGAGATATGTATGTAGAGAGGGTCCCCCAGTTTATGGAAAGAGAGGCAATACTTGGGTCCCAAGGGAAAGAAGTCTGAAAAAAACTAGAGGCTGGGCTGCTGCTGCTTATTTCCTTTCTGGTCTGATTTCTTCTGATACACACGGCAAGTTTTCTGTTGTCTCTGCTTATGGACATGCAAGCAGAGTATTCTCTTTAAGTATTCAGAGTTGGAGGGTTTTTTAGGGAGTTGTAGGGCATTGGCGGAAGAGCTGTATTTCCAGAAGGAGCCAGAGGGAGTGGGGGAAATAAGCTTAGTGGGTACCATGGTTTTCCGAATTCAAAGATACTTTCTGATGTCAGCCTCCAAGTCTGTGCCAAGTTTCATACATCAGCAAACAAGGCTTCCAGGGAACAAGCAAGCTGTTGTGAGTAGCCAGCCATTCAGCAATAAACAGTGGCAAGCACAAAATTAATCACATGCCAGGTTTTTTTGCTTGTGGATTGCTTTTCTTAAATGTTAAAAATTAGTTCCCCCCCTTGTTCTATAACTTACTGCTGCACCATGAGACCATCTTACAAGATCTGAGATATTTACCATAGGTAAGTGGTGTTACAGCATTCAGACAAACAATGAAGTCATACTGCTGCTGCTGCAGAACTTGATGCTGTATGCATGTCTATTATTAGAAATCCTCCTTTATTAAAGGGTAAATTCCCCGTTGCTTTTAAGCATGCTTTCAAGGAAGAAAATAAGATTGATACAACAGAATGATCCAGGAGAAAAAAAAGTTGATCATTCTGCATTTTTCCAAGCATTACATGCAGCAGCTCTCTTGGGGTTCTAAATCTTTTCCAAGAACAATGACTAAGCTGGTCCCTTAAGGAAATAGTGTTTTAATTACAGGATAACTAGTACAAGATTTATAGGTGCACATGGTAGTTTTAAGACAGTAAAGAACAAAATAGCTTGCTAGGATTTCTTGTCTAACTTTGACCAGTGTAGGACTAAGGATGAAGAATTGGGCTGAAATCCTCACCTACAGATCTGTGGCACACAATGTCAGAAAACTCAACGTTGGAGAGCAGAGCAAGGAACTGCAATAGCTCTGACAACAACATAGCAGTATGTTCTAGCATTTGGTCCACAAGTGAAGATTTTTGGAAACATAAAATATCAGTAAATTGTAACACCAATTGCATTAGAAGATGGCATAAATGGCCATCACTGTGTCTTAGAGGAATTTGAGGGGATGCAGCCTGTGGCCAACTTCAGAGGGAAGGGCCTTTTCAGTGTACACTGTACAATTGTACAGCTGTTGGTGTCCTGAAGGTAATAAGGAAAGAGGGTATATTTATAAACAATCAGTTAGTTATTGGCATTTTATATCGTCCATCTTGATAAAACTTCTTACTAATCTGCATCTCCCAAAACTATAATAATATACCAATTGGCAGCCCATGCAGTTTTATGAAAGGTGGTTCTCGAGTCAGGGTGGTTTTGATGTTGCTTAATGATACATCAGAGCTTGATGGCTAAAGGTAATAGCGTGGCTGTAAGACACATAGATTGCTCTAAGGTATTTGATTTCATGCTGTACAGTGACTTTGCAGATGGTGCAGACATGGAGACTGATTAAAAATACAAGGCATGTATTGGAACAGTGGCCTGGATTCTGAGGTAATCTCTGTGCAGGCAGATAGTGTATGATTTCATGTAGCCAAATCTTGAACTGCTTGCCTGTAAGGAATGAAGACAGGCCATGCTTACAGGAGGAGGGATTTAGCACTAAGTGACTGAGATAGATATGACACTGGAGGAGAAGAGGCCAGGAGCTGTAGGATCAGTTACGCACCATCATAACCAAGAGGGCTAATGTGATTATTGAGCGCAGGGGCTGGCGGGTCATCAGGACCAGACATTGGTCTTAAGGTAAGACTTAAAGATGTGATGTTCCTATCTGCCATCTGTGCAACTGCTGAGGCTAGTGATGCCACCCAGAGACCAAGAAGGGTGAAGCAAAAGCTGGAGAAGACTCATGGAGGAACGTAGAAAACAGTGAAAGGATCTGAAAGCTTATAATAATAGTAAACTTTGACTTCAGCCCTGAATCAGGCTATTTCAGGAACAGGAAGCTGAAAATCAAAGGAGTCCTTTGGTTTAGCAGAGAAGGGTCACGACCAGCTGCTGGAAATTCTCTTCCAATAAGAGCAGACTCCAGGTCAACCACAGAGTGGTGGTACGTGCTACAGGTGGTTGTTGGTGTGTATCGCCTGAGTTGCTGTATTTGTCTGTTTAGTTTCAGATGTAGTGGTGAGTTGTGAGAATGACTTTGTGCTTCTCTGGGTGGACTCCTGTCACTAGGACTCCTTTCGCTAGAAAAACATCTATCCTAGGTTCCAAGTAATGTATTCAAGATAGTCTTTCTAGAAAGCTTGTAGAGGGGATGGAACTGCACTGCTCATTCACTGTGTAAAGTATGGCACAGGCTTCAGCACTTCTGTAAAGATTCAGTAGCACAATACCATACTGTGAGATAAAAAAGAGGAGGGAGCAATCATGCATCATGGAAGCTTTATGATTATGAACTCCTCAATGCTAACATCTGTTGCTTTGCTTGTTGTGGTGAGATTTTTTAAATTTTGGTCTTTGATTTCTTTTGTTTTCTTTTATGTTTTAGAATAGTCCTTATCAGCAGCAGAAGATCCTTCTGTAGCATATTTTCAGTGCTGCCATATCGAGACTGTACCCAAGTCGGGTATGTATATTTATATGTGTACTACATAGTCTTTCTGGGCCTGCATGTAGACCTGATAATGGACAACAGCATGATGGAGGCTATTGCTTTTACATATCTGCTCTGAGAAGAGATAAATGCACTTAGATATATTTGCCTTGTGGAACATTACTAGGTTAAAACTACAACTCTCAGTCCCCAGTTTATTTATATGTGTTGTGATGTGTTTGATTCTTAAACTGGAAAAAACTGCTCCCCTGAAATCAATGCTATTGAAAAATGCCATGTTTTTATTTTGTCTTTTAACTTCACTTATCTTTGACAAAACAAGTACTCTAGACAGCACATCTGTTATAAGCAGTCTTAGATTTCTTATTCTCCCACGCAAATGTGGTGCTATGGTATCTAGATTTCCAGAACTATAGAGAAATATTTGGATTTAGACATAATAGCTTTTCATTGTACACTTGGCCATTGGTCAGATCGTTCAGTCATTGAAAACAGGTTGTTTTGGCCATAATACCATACAGGTTCTTCTGGCTATATTACCACACAGGTTCTTAGTTGGTGTAAGTAACATCTGTGGAGCTGCCTTGTAACCTTCAACTAGACCTCTGATAGAAAGACTGTTCGGATTGAAGACTGAGAAGACTTTTTGCTCGTGCATTGAAACTACAGAAATAGAAGAAACTGGATTTGACTGGGAGATGGTGCCTAGCGGGCTCTGGGGCACAGCTTGCTGGGTGCCTTCAGAGGCACAGTGCAAGGCAGGGAAGCACAGTGCTGGTCTGTGGCAGCTCTGTGCTCCCGGGGCAGAGGAGTCAAGCCTGGCCACCACAGCCACTGAGAGTTACCTGTAGCTGGAGTTGGCTCAGCACCTTCAGGGCACAGAATTTGGGGGATGTGCTTAGTTAATACACTAAGGTGGGTTTGGAAGACCCATAAATCATCTAGATTCAAATTTTATCAAGTACATAAAGGATGAATTTGGTTCATATTTATTAGCAGCACTGTTTAATTCTGGAGAGTGGTTTCCCAGAAGCTGCTTGTGTATCACTAGTTCAAAACAAAGGGAGATTATTTTTAATGCAGAAATTAAAGGAGGCACCTTTGTAGGAGAGTTGACTTGTTCTTCTGTCTCCTAAAGTAAATTTTTTCTCTTAATTAAACTGGGATGACTCATCAGGCAAATTCTTGACAGACTGGCGGCTTTGTTCGCGCTTCTTGTGTATACTGTCATTCATTTATGGTCATTGCCCTGTGGAAATTGCCTCTTTATTGAAAATTGAATATATTTTGAAATGCTGATGACTAGTTACACCTTCTGAATTACAGCAGTAATGAGCCCAGCTGCAAACCTAAATATTATTTCAGCATGTAGTATCTTGTACCATGCTCGCACAGCAAGAAGGCATGGAACGAGAAGGTAGCAAGTACCAGCACAAAACAATCCAGCCCTGTTCCCTTTGCTAAAAAACCCCAAGATCAAGGAAAATTCCCTCTGTCTCTCCTCCAGAGCATCAGAGGAAGAGAGAAACAATTCAGTGGCACCTCCTTCTAGGAACAGCTGGTGCAAGGAACAGATGAGGCAGTATAGCATAAACTGTAGCCACTCTGTTCAGGCTGCACAGTGCTTGTTTACTTCATTGCACATTTTGGATGTGTAGTAGGAATGGGGAGAAACACTGGTACCCTTTCGAAGTTCTGTAGTGACAGCATCCTTTAGCTTTGCTTTCTCTGAACCTCTGGATTGCTGATGTCCTGTTCCTGGGCAAGATATCCTAACTGGTTTATGTTCTGCAAACATTACTGAATGGTTTACAAACACAAATCAATGCAGGGAACCATGGGCACATCTGCAATGAGACTGGGGTAAGTCCTGGCAGGAGCAGGAGAGCGGGGTGAACGTGCATGCAGGGGGGACTGTTCCATGCGAGAGGAGCACATGGTGGAGCTGCCGCTGCTTCTCCACCTCTGCTCTGACTCATGGGCACTGCGGCCAGCAAGAAGACGTACAAGCACAGCTGTGTTTCGGGGAGGCTGCCAGTCCCCGTTGCATTGTAGGCAGCACAGAAGAGCTCCACTGTATTGATGCTGGCAGCTAAGCTGCACTAACAGATTCATTTTAAAAACGTGTCTGAAAGGCAGTTTTTGCCATCACAGCTGAACTCTATGTACTTGGCTGGGGTGGATGGGGCAGCATCACCCCCTACCAACAAGGTGCGAGCGATGTACTCCAGGCTGCAGCCCTTGCTTGCCCACCCTCTGCGCTGAGGTCAAGCTACAATAGCAAGAACCCTCCCCCAGACTGTGTTTATAATTGGTTTTACAAATACAAATGGAGGTCTGAGGGGTGGGAGGAGGAGAGCGGTAGGAGTACCTGAGAGGATGAAGTTTGAGCTGTCCCCTGGAGTATGTTTCCCAAATCCCCCTTCCGGGCAGCCTCACCAGTGTCGCTGGCAGCAGGCTTGTGAAGGGAAACGTACTCCAGAGTCATAGTTTTTTCTGTTGTGGTTTTAAAAGGCCAATCTGGTGGTACTCGCTAGGGCTGAGAATGAAGGACACTATGTACCGCGGGAATTACTTTCTCTAGTTTTCTCTGTTACGCTGAAGAGAAGCAGAAAGCACAAAGCAGAGAGGGACGTGGTGGGGAGGAAAAGGGTCATGAACAGAAGTAATCACTAGAATTTTCTGTCCTCAAAATTTGTCTGTACCTTGTATCTGATGGAAACCTAGTGTTTTAGCTTATAGTGCTTTTGTGTAAGGGAAAAGGGGAGAATTAAAACTGAATTGGGAGAGGCTTTGAGATGCCTTATTTCCTGCTGGAGTCACTGAGAGGCAGGTACTTCTGTGGATCTGGGCTGTAAATTCTCTCTCTAGGTCTGGCTATGTTAACATTGCTTGCTTCTTTGCTGGTGGCGTGAAGACAGTCACAGCTTCACCTGTTTCAATGGCTAAGAGTAGGGTAATGGACAGGACCAGACCCTGCTTTTCTTCCCTCATCTAGACCAGCAGAGCAGCCGTGAGAGCAGGCATAGCCACATGAAAGCCATGTAAGGAAGGCTATGCTGCAAGTCAGGAGCTGAAAGAGGCACTGAGCATCTTGCCGGCTGCCTTCCCTTGGCCCCCAGCATCCTGCAGTGTTACAGCTCAAAGTCATTAGACCCTACACAGGGAGCAGTTACATGGGTTTATAGTTCTGTTGTGTTGTTGGGTTTTTCCTTTGGCACACATCACTGTGGTTCACAATCAAAAGACATGTTTTTGAAAAGGGACTTTTTAGGCTTGTTTTTGTTAATTTGCAGTTTAAAATCATACCTATTCTGGTGGTATTTTATTTTGCGGTGTTGTAAGAATCTTCTAAGAGCTTCCAGTCCTGCCCAAAACTTGAATCTAGGGGGCCTGGGGGAGGAGGAAAGCTGGTGGTGTCATGCCGCTGGGCTCGCAGTGACTGACTGCCATTGGGGCTGGAGGTGATGAACAACAGAACAGAAAATCCAGAGCATCAGATAAAGCATGTTCTTATAAAACTGGCCAGTACACCTCATCTTTTATTCTTCATGTCATTGAATTCATTAAGTGGTTAGAAGCTTACCTGAAGAAGGAATAGTGCTGAATATTGCTGTCTTGATAAGAACATAGGTATTCATCTGACTAAGCTTGCCTCCAGTTAAGGGGAATAATACAAGTAATCAAATGGATTGAAGCCCAGGAAATGGACCATTCTTCTGAACTAAAGCAGAAAATTGTTAGATAAAAGATAATTTGCGTCCTTCTCAAAAATGCTACAAACCAGCTTCATCCACTTTCTAAAGATAAATCACTGCTGAATTTAACTTTGAATTTAACTAAGTGCTGGCCAGAACACTAATGAGTTCAATGATGCTGACGGCGAGGAATTTTCAATACCATCACTCCAAATAACATGTAGCCACAACGATCCATGAGTCTTGACACCAGGTGTTCCCAACGGGCTTCATTATTATCTAAACTCTGAAATCTTTGTTCATCTTCAGTGTTTAAATTGGGTAAGAAAGTCATACGCAAAATGAGGCAAAAAGAAGCATTTAGGTGAGGTTGTCTCACATGCTGCACCCCTGCCATCAGTTATTTGGTAGCTCAGGTAACATTGCAGTGAGCATGGAAAACAGGAATATTTACAGGAGAAATCTAAATGGCCATAGGGGTGGTAGCAATAAGCACACAGCAAAGCAGAATACTCTGTTAGGTCTTTAGATTTGTTACCAGGTTGCTTGCTATTCTTCCCCGGTGGATTTTTTGTATGCAAGGCAGTTTTGATTAAGTCATTAATCTCGAGTGCTTTTCCTGAGCTTTTATCATTCCGTAGGCCTGGGGAAGAATAACTATCTGGGTTTAGCTGATAATAGGGAAACTGCTTTTCTTTACCATTGCCCATTTTCCCTGCTTCTCCTAAATTGAACACAAACCAAGTGCATATCAGCTTTGTAGAAAGGGACATAAATCTATTTTTCCCTTTTTTTTCCCCCAACAGGACATTTCAAAAGTAATCATCTCATGTGTGAATTTTATAGAGCCACCATTGCTCATTTTTGTGAGTTGCCCTGTTCCGTTAGATTGAAATGAAGCAATGAGTCTCCAAAACCTAATAGGTTTAAATTTTGAACTTTTACTCTGTGTTGGGCAAAACATCAGGTCAGGAGCTGCCATGCTGACAACTGAATATGTTTGGAGAGAGAAAAATTATACCAGCCCGTTAAAGCCCTCATTCTGGAGGTTTTTCTACCTCCTCTCCCTGTAAATTGCCACTGGAGTTGTTGTTCTAGCAATTATAGTGGCATATTTACAGGAGAAATCTAAATGGCCGTAGGGGTGCTAGCAATAAGCACACAGCAAAGCAGAATACCCTGCTAGGTCCTTAGATTTGTTACCAAATTCCTTGCTGTTCTTCCCCAGTGGAATTTTTGTGTGTCATTAGGATCTGATAGCCCTTGGTCAATTAAAGCAGGCAGTCTTAGGCAGCGGGAGATCCACTGCTGGACTGGCTAGCAGCATGTCTTGTCCAAAGCTCTCGTTGTACTTGTCCCTACAGAGACAGTCAGTAGAAGTTGTTTACAGTCACGGATAAGAACAGTATCTTTTATTGATGTCTCATGAACTACTTTTGCTTTTAGAATAAACCTTAACAGTCAGGAATCACTACGCATAAAATACAGGCACAGAAGGTTTACATCTCTAAATAATTATCAGATTCCATCTTGAAATAAGCAGAAGGCTATTTCATGTACCTTAAAATCTATTTAATACTTAATGGACTCCTAAATTATTCACAAGTTAAAGTGTTCAACTGTTGCTGTCCTTTAAAGAGCAAGTGCCCAGCAGGAGTCTTGCATAGGGCTTTGTAGATCACGTCAAAGCGTGATCTTCATTAAAGAAGTGTTATACTTCCAAAGGTAATATCATCCAATTTCTATTCTGTTAATCCTGGCCTGGCTGATAAAAGGCACAGTGAGATTTCCTGTTTTGATTCTTATCTCCCTGCTCAGTAAAGCTTTTCACTGTGCCACAACAAATTTGGGATCCCCAGTCACCTGGTACTGTTGCAATAAAATCTGTGAACTCTGTTAGATGGAGAAACCTCAGGTTTTTTCTGCAGTCCTGGATAACTGAAACAATATGTTTATTTTTGAGTGTAATTTATAACACTGCTCAGCTTTCTCAAAATGGGTAGAGTATCTAGAGCTTGGTGTAAATCAAGGTAACTCCCCAAACTTTGTCAGAAACTGGGACCTAGTTTTTTGCCTTCTAAGGAAATGCCATCCCTGATCTCCTAAGTTCCTCAGGCTTTCCCTGCTCAAATGAAGTTAAGGCAGGATTAAGTTCTCATGATTTATTTTTGCTTTTTGATGTCTGCTCGAATCCCTTGAAAACTTTGTTAAAAAGCACTTTTGGAAAATAAAACAGGAAAATCAAAAAGAGGAAGAGGAAACTTTTTGTCATTTAAAAGCCTCTTTGGCAAAGGCTGTCTTTCCTACTCTGCATTTTGTAAGCAGCTTTTACTACTGGATATTGATTTGTGCTGTTCCTCAGTCCCATTGGTAACCTAATTAACTTAAACACGGTGAAAGCTTGATGTCTTTTTATATGAATTGCCCTTCTTCCATATGCTTCTGCCCTGTGGGCCCCACTGACTGTGGTGCCATGCCATGTGTCCTGAAGAACAACTTGGTGGCTCTGGTTGGCAGGACTGTTCCCAAACAACCGTCCTGACTGTTCTCCAGGCACAACTTGTCTTTTTGGAGAGGGCAAAGTGGAGGCATCCCCCAGGTCTTTCCTAGTTGCTCTTGGGATTTTGGGGATGTGGTGTGGGAGTAGCAGTGATGGGGCTCCCCCAGCAGCAGGGTGGCGGCCCTTGGGCTTGGGTCTTGTCCTGGGTTCAGCTACAGCAGTCATTTTTTCTCCTTCTTAGTAGCTGGTGCAGTGCTGTGTTTTTGACTTTCAGTCTGGGAACAACGCTGATAACACCGATGTTTTTAGTTGTTGCTAAGTAATGTTTACTCTGACCAAGGACTTTCTCAGTCTCATGCTTTGCCAGAGAGGAGGGGAAGCCAGGAGGAAGCAGAGGCAGGACACCTGACCCAAACTGGCCAAAGGGGTATTCCATACCACAGCACGTCCTGCCCAGTATATAAACTGGGGAGAGTTACCCGGAAGGCCCAGATCGCTGCTCGGGTCGGGCTGGGGATCGGTCGGCGGGTGGTGAGCGGTTGTGTCCTTTTCCCTTGTTATTCCTCTTATCATTATTATTGGTAGCAGTAGTGGTTTGTATTATACCTTAGTTACTGGAGAGCTGTTATCTCAACTCGTGGGAGTTACATTCCTTCGATTCTCCTCCCCATCCCTCCGGGAGCGGGGGGAGGAAGGAAAAGGGGGGGAGTGAGCGAGCGGCTGCGTGGTTCCAAGTTGCCGGCTGGGCTTAAACCACGACAGGTCTCCCAGCAAGAGCCTTGCTGAGGCATTCGTGAGCTTTTTGTCTCTCATAGAAGGGAGGGAAAAAGATCAAAGCTTGTCCTACAAAAACTTGACTAGCTTGGTGTTGATCGCAGTGACGGGGAACTCAGAAAGGATACCATAAAGTCACCTAGTAATCTCTTATTAGGTGTTCACTGAGACCTTCTATCAGTGAGAGGAGGATGTGTATAAGCTAGAGTGAGCCTTTCCATTTATACACCAGGAAGAAACTGCACATTGTTTACTACTGATTTTCCTCAAGAGAAGAAGTTTAATTCTCTGTTTTACGGACAGGTTTCTCTCCAAACTGTAACATTTTATTACTCTCTTTTACAACACAAGCAACCATATGCTACCTACAGATACAGAGCGTACACAGAGGAGGGGAAGACCCTAAGTAGCCCTTGCAAAACACCTACGATGAGGGAGAATGACTGCAATGTTGTTTCTCAGGGCCCTGAAACATCAGAAAGGTGGGAAGATGGAGGCATTAATGTCCATCAGGCTTCAGCTAATGCCCAGAAATCATTCCATGTGTGCTTACATGTGCCAGCTCACCCTGCTTCCAGAGCAGTGATTCAGTCCCAGGAGATGCTCTTTTGTTTTCTAAAGTTGCTGTGCTGACTCTTCAAAGGGTGCCGGATTTTCATTTGATGAATTACAGTTGTCTATCCTTCTCTGTTAATTGCATGGGGAAATTTCTCTGTGACTTGCTGCCAGAGTCATAACGGCATCACTTCTTGCTCTGTGTCCATAAGGTTTTGAGTGGAAGGAAACAAAATTATTGTGTTACTATTTTAGTTAATTTAGATAATTTGTTTTCATTTTGGGGTTTGGGGGGGGTCCTCAGGTTGGGTGTTTGTTTTGTGGTTAAGACCTGCTGAAACGGTTACTATATGACATTTATCTCTATGAGAAATAGCATGTTCTGCACAGGAGCGGAGAAGCTAATCCCATGCCTCTGACAGAGGGTTATTTTTGTGTAATTATTTGCCCAGCTTCTCAGTAACATGATATCAGGAAACATGAATGATAATGTGACACTGTGCTAAGTGAACCCCAGTCAAAAAACTAAGAGGACTTTGTTGGGATTAGAAACTTGATACAGTCTTTTCCTTTGTCACAGGAGTATGTTTTCCAGCAGATAGATGTGTTGGATTTTTCCAGCAGTGGGGTACGTGATTTATTGGGGACTCACCAATTGCTATGTTTCGGAGAAATAAAATGAGTGACAGGTTGGAAAGGAAAGACAAGGAACAGGGTGTGCAGAGGCACACTATGAGACAGCCCATCCCTGCAGCTGGATGAAGAGCCTGCAGGGCTTCTCCTTGCCTCAGTGTCAGCATCTCTTCCACACAGATTTTTAAGCACATACTTGGACCTCAACAGAAATCAGATGGGAAAATATTGTGAGATAAATACTTTGGAGTTGTATACAGCTGTCACTTGCAGAGGACAGGTTTGCTCATAGTCTTTCTTGCCTTTACTCACATTTTAATCTTGAGGCTAAAGCGTGGGATACAACTTTGTTGTCTTGGTCGTATCATTTAGTTCCAAGACTAAAGTGCCAAGTGGGTCAGTCCTTCTCAAGTAGATCCCAAAGTTTCCATCCCAGGCAAAAGAGTGCTGGGTTTCTTCTGCTGGTCGATCACAGGGCTTTGGACATTCTTGCATTTGATGGAGCAGGAATTCCTTCCGGAGCCTTTCATGGGCAATTACCTCTGTCCAGCAGAGTAGGGGGATGTGGGTATGTACTCTGGGAGTGTCTACCTGCTAGGTACGTGGCAGTCAAGTGTTCAGTCTCAATTGTTGGATCTCACCTGAAGCGTGTATGACTTTACTTCCTTCCCAGTGCCAGGTTCTGTCAGAGGCACCCAGCAGCGGGGAACCTTGATCTGCATCGTAGGTGGGATAAGAGATGCAGCCTGGAACAAAGTGGGGGTTTTCTCTATAATGTATGTAATGTAACAGGTGCTTCCCATAGGAAAAGGTGTCTGGTCTGTGCTTTGCATTGGCGTGTTTGGATTAATGCTGCTACCTTATTTCAGCATTGGGTGGTGGAAGGTGAACAAGGCATGTGTATTAAGAGCTGTTTCTGCTTCCCAGGGATATGAAGCTGGACGGTGGACGCCAGTGCCATTCTACTGGAGTGTGTCTGAAAGAGATAATTGGTCTTGAAGGTGTGGAGCTTGGAGCGGATGGGAAGGTGGGGATGCTTCAGTTCCTGCTCCATTAGATTTTATGAATAAGGGAGAAAATAGCTTAACTAATAACAGGCACAAATAGAAACCTAAGTTATAATATGCAGTGTAACACAGTAGTTAAAGCACAGTATGTGCAAACTGTAAATAAGCTTAGCAGAAATTCAGGATGACTGCCCAAGCTGTCAGTGTGAACAACTCTGTCTCCTTGAAGAAATTTGCCTCTGGCACCGTCTGAGTCTGTAAAGCATACTGAATTGTGTAGCCTTGCCCTGGCTCTAGCAGGAGGTATCACTGCAGAGTATATTGTCAGGGGCTTGAAAATAATTTCCGATGAGAGTTGTAAGCTGTAATTTTGTTTGCTCTCAATTTTATTTAATAAAATAACTTTAGCTTAAAGTATATTTTTCCAAAGAGCAGGAAGACAGTAGTACAATCTGAAGAGTATTTAAAAATCCAGTAGTTCATTCACTTGAATAGAATAAGCAATTATGAATCTTTAGAGAAAATGATCCATTTAAAACAACTCATAAATGAAAACATTTTTTGCTGAAAGCCTGACTTACTTTTTATAGTTCAGTTTACCCAGTCTGCTGTCATACATGTATTTAGAGGTCCTTGGTCAATGCTGCTACACATGGTGCGCTCACCTAACCAGGTGTCAGGCCAGACCACAGGCTGTAAATTCCTGAGGACAATCTGTCTGCTTATAAATGAATGAAAGCTCACACGTTTTATTTGATACCTGTTCTGACCTCATAGTAAACCAGTCCAGAGTCTGAGACTTATTTATTTTCTTCAGATAATGTTATTTTTGGAAAACAAACCTATGAGAAGAAACGAGGCATAGCCCATTCCTGGCCAGGGGTACAGGCAGGGAATCAGTATGCTCTAAAAATAGTTTTGTCACAACTTCTTCATTCACACTTAGTCCATGTTGAGAGGCAGTAAATGATCTCCCACAACCATTGCTATAAACTGGAGCTCACTTGCGACACCAGTAAGACTCTGCCAGGCAAAATACTGAAGGAGAAAAATACCAGAGAAAGTGCTTAAGTTTAGCAGCATTCAGTTGATTTGCCTCTGGCACATCTGTGCTGAGGGACCCGTATAGATGATGCTGTTTCAGTAAAGAAGCAGCTGAAATCTGCTACAGAGAAGGCTCACAGAAAACACCCAACCAACCAGACATGTTTTTAAATCTGACCCTTGAGTAGGATTTTGTAAATCTAGTGTATTAGAGCTTGTGTGTGTGTGTGGTTTTGTTGCAGAATTAATGCCTTTGCAAACGGGTTGTTTTTTGCCTGGATAAACTGACTGCACTGAAGCAAATATAGGTGACTGGTGTTTACTCATCTGTGCCTAACTATTAAATCCAGAAAATCCTCTGCTAATTTGGCTTCCCTTGCTTCTGATTGGGATGCACCAAAGGCATCCTGCTGTGGCTGAGCTGGGCTAAGAGTAACTGTCTGTCCGTTCTGACTTTCTTTTTAGACTGTTTCTTACACACAATTCCTGTTTCCCACCAATGCTCTGGGAACTCGGAGAAACACGATAGACTCCACCTCATCCTTCTCCCAATTTCGCAATGCAAGCCATCGTAGCCTTTCTTTGGCAAGAGCTAACAGCACCCAGGGGAGCATTGATGCAGGTAACTTCTCAAGAAGCTTGTTTTAATATCCTTGGGTACTCTGGTGATAGGCAGCTATTGTGGAGGATGGACACGTATTTTAACCCTTTTCATTTGCTTAAATTAAGCAAAATATAGTCTCGTGTTGGGTGAAATGCAGCTCATTCGCTCTTTGTTTAGCAAAGCTGGCTTACAGATGGTGGAAGGTTAAGTAAACGAGAGTGCTGGTTGTATTGATGCTTGATGACACTCAGCGTGCCTCCTCCTGTTGCTGGCATCGTTTGTTTCTCCTGCAGCAGGCTCATCATTACCTTCCTTTGCTATGGAAAATTTACAGTCGCAACACGGTAGCTGAAAGTGTAAATCATACTTGTGACCTTTATTAGGCTGGGAAGGGCTGTGTTTACAAAACTGGGCACAAAACATAAGCCAAAGCACTGTATGCTTAAGATATTTTGGCATGTTAAATGAAACAAATCAAAACATCTGCATAAACAGATGAAAACTTGTTGCTAGGAATAAAAGTCATTTTGGTGGTTTATATAGTTTTGCAGTTCTCTGAGCCCTAAACTTATATTTCCCAGGTAATTCATAAGCTGTAGGTCCTCTATATCTATGCAGATTCTATTAGTGTTGAAAATCTTAGATTTTTCAAGATTTAGGGTAACTTTTTGACTCTCGAAAATCTTCCATGAAGATCATCTTGTGCATTATCTGTCAAGTCATTTGCCGCTTCTGTTAAGTCCAGAGATTTCTTGATGTAATAAATTCCTTTCTTATATTTACCATTGTTTTATAGGTAGTGACCTTGGAGACTTTGTTGAATATGACCCAAATCTTTTAGATGATCCCCAGTGGCCATGTGGCAAACATAAGCGGGTTTTAATATTTCCTTCATATATGGTAAGTGATATGCAAAATTAGGTGTAGCATAGATAAATTTCAGTATTTTGAAGGCTGAGGTTACATTTGGCCGTATTTTAAGAAGATTATTATTATTTTTAATCTACTAATAACAGCTGTTTGGAATGCTTTGTTCTAAATGACAGTTACTTACCAAGACATGTAAAAACAAACTCGTGGAGGTATTACAAAAGTAAATGCTTGTATTACCACTGTATTTCATAAATGCTTTAGATGAAAGGCTTGTTAGAACAATGTGTTCATTCTCTCACGTCCAGAGGAAAATTTATTCTTCCTCTAATTGGCATCTATTACAAAATAGGAGGATGCCTATTAGGGTTTTTCTGAAGTCATGAAGCTGCATTGTGTTTTGATGCTTATCCTTCACTCCTCGGAACAGCACTTTGGTGTCTAGTAGAGCCTTTGTTTCACAGGTATTTATTTCACCATGGGGTAGTTCTTCCTTTAATTGCAGCAATTGTGAGCAGAGCCTGTGTACTTTTCATTATATCCAGACCTGTAACAATACAGGCACATAACTGTTCCTTGGTCTGTCCTCCGGCTCAGTGGTTTCTGTGGTGAGAGACTTCTGTAGGCTTTTTTTTGGTTGCACCAAGTCTGTAGACTTTGGTGTGCTATTTTGGCAGGACTGTTGCAAGATGCAGTGTTGTCATATGCGTGTGAGCATGTATCTATCTGAATTATACACCCAAAGTAGTGGTAGACAGCAGGGAAAAGCATTTATTTTCCCAAAGTGGTGACCTAGTACTCTTATCTATATACGAATAGGATAGGATTTGAAACACTGAGGTCTAAAGTGTCGTCCATGTCCTCACTTTGGAATAGAAGATGTTGTTTAAGAAACTGCTAATGTATGTAAAGATGCAGTCTTTGTAGGTTCTCTTATGCCCCCCCAACCTGGTCTTTGATAATAGGACTCTTGGGTGCTACTTCTTCCAAATAAATGGACTTTAAGTATTTCATGTAGATTGAAGCGTACCTCATTGCGGGCGGGAGTGTTCTGCCTGTTGCACAGAGAGGCTGAATTGATCTCTGAGGTTGTGTTTGTAGTTTTCAAATGGGGAGTCCAGTATGTTGTCTGCTTACTTTCAGCCAGTTGGCAAGTCACTTTTTGGCTGCCAACCCACAAGCTTCCAACCTTTTATGGCAACTACATCTGGGTGGGAAATTACTTGTTTTGATATGGTTGTTGTCATGGACAGGGAACTGTCTTCCCTCAAAGAGAAAGACGGTGCTAACCAGCATACAAAGAGAACATAGCTTTAGTGGTCATGGTTGTCTTTCAAACCTTCCCCAGGCAGCAAATGTCATCAGGCAGTCTTGAGTCCTGTAGGATCATCTGAGAACTTTGATCCTTTCTCAACTTGGTGTTGAGATGGATATGGTTGGGTGAATCAAAATAGGGCAGCCAGGATAGCATCCTGCAGGGGAAGTTTCCACCCAGGAGTGAGTGTTCGATGCCCCTCTTTTCCATATGCTGGTTAACCACAGCATCTTGAGGTCCATATTTGTACTTTTATTGCAAAAAGGACCTGACTGTCAATTTCCACTGTGACAGAGGTATGATTAGATACTTTACAGATGAATAATGGGCTTCAAGGGCAATTGTTAACATCACTGTTGTCAACAATATCACTGAATTGACAGGGTTCTCCCAGCTTTTTCATTTTCTCTAGGGGTTAGTTACTGCTTATGCTTTATTTGACATTTTGGGTATTTTTGCCTGAATTTGCCTTTCAGCCGTCACTTCTTCATCACTGCCTGAGGGTTTTGCAGCACTCCCATCTCCCTTTCTGAAGTCAGGTACTGATCTGTGAAAGGGCTGAAGGATATTAAGTGCTGTGTTTCTTTTGTTGGTGGGAATCAGAGGCACATGCCAAGAGATCTCCTACTGAAGGATTTTGCCTGTCCCTGGTTGAAGCAGCACAGCTGAAATTCCATGCAGGAGCTGCATGGCTTTGTAAGAAACTAGAGAGTGGGTGGTGGTTCTTCAGTGCTCTGCTGAGATTTCTCAAGGGGCTGTTGCTTCCTTCAGCTGGGAAAAGGGAGAAAAGGTAGTGCCAGTGTGTCCTGGGAACTTGCGGGTTAAATAGGATTTTGCAACTTGGGCTGTGGGTTATGGAAGGTTTGCGCAATGAGCTAGTGAACATAGGGCTATATTGGATGTGTAGGAGACTTTACTCGCATCCATCTTAGGCTTTCCTGACTCAGCTGGTATTCCCCCTCCCTGCAGTTCCAATCAATGTGAACAGGAGCATAATAGGCTGTAATTCCAAGTAATTTTCTTCCCCAAATATAAAAATCAGCAATTAAAGCAAATTGCAGTCTGAGGCCAGTGAGAAACCTGTATTATTTTCCTGACCGAGCACAGCCATCACGGTAGTGACAGAGCTCTGCCAAATGACCATGGAGCTGTAGAGCTGCTGTACACAGATTGAAACCAGTGTCTGGTCCTGAGCAGAATATAGCTTATAATATAATAGTAATTGCTGCCTCTTGCAAGTGCCGGAGCAGCTGAGAGCAGCTCTGATGTCAGCACCAAACATTTTGTTGTGTGCAGAGAGCCTCAGCTTGTAATTAAAGTTTTGTTACTTGGCCAGCATTTAGCATTAATTCTTCGCAGCTGCAAGCTTGTAGATATTCCATGCCCCCTCCTACTTACGGATATCAGAGCAATTAATGGGGGGAAAGTGTGCGAGAAGAATGTGAATGCATGGCAGTGTGGATGAGCGAGGCTGGATGCTGAGCTGCAGCATGCGGGATATGCTGTGCTCCTGGGATATTATGCTCTGTGCTATGCTATATAGCTATATGCTGTGACTGTGGGATAGAGCTACATGCTCCTGGGGTATTACTTCTGGAAGCCTGGCTTGCGCTTTGCAGGCCAGCATTTCTCTGCTGGTAAAACTCTGCTAAGGTCTGTGTGTGAACGCTGTATCAGTAAACACTGCAGGCTTGATCCCGAGGCGTAAGATGGGCAGGATGTGTGGCCTGGCTTGGATTTTACTCTGAAATATGTGCAGTTAACACTCAACATACAGTTTTGTCCATTTTTGAGGAACCCACGTTTATCGTCAGTGACATTGACTTTATAGTCCTGTAATTTTACTGAGCTGAATTAGTCCTGACTTGCAGGGGATTTTTAACTGTAAGTCAGTCCTCTGTTTCCTCCTTGAAGATGGCTGTGGAGAAGGAGAAGTGCTTTTGATTTGGTCTTTTTTTTTTCTGCAGAGAAGTTCCTGGCTTGAAAGGATGTACACTTCCCTGTCGCTTTTCTAAGACAAACAGCCTGTCTGGGTCATGCTGAAAAAGCAGCTTCGATAGTTTACCAACACAAACTCTGTGTCTTCTGTTTACTCTATTAGTAGTATTTAAATTCTGGTCTATCCTCAAGGAATCCCTTTGCTTTATGTTGTCTTTGTAGGAGAGTCTACAATCTCTGCCACAATATAAACAGTAAGAGGTAGAAAAAATTCATGCTGGGGGGCTGAGGGAGGAGGGAGGCATCATGTTAACAGATGTCTTCCTGGCTGATACCGCTGAACCAGGAATTCTTGCAGATTCTTAAATCTCTCTAGAACAGGAACTTTATCTACCAGACAGAGCCGTAATTTCTTTGCTAGAGCCTCATGTTGACTAGCATACATCCAGACTCGTCAGTGCCTCTCTGGCCTCCCTGTGTTCTTGCCAGCAGGAAAAAACTCCTTCCGTGCAGGAGAACACTCGCTCTGCAATAGGCATGAGGCTGACCCTGCACTCCGGCTTTTGTTGGTAACGCAGAAACACAGGAGTGTGTTAGCTGGCTGCTGTGCACTGCTGAAACTTCCAGCAAAAGAAGGAAAGCCTGGATCAGTAGCATCCTGACAATGAGTGACCCTTCTGTAATAACATCCCTGCTATATCCATCTATCCTTGCCTAAGGGGTACACTTGGAAACTGGTTTGGGTACTTCACTACAATTTCAGTATATTGGTTTAAATATGTCAAAATAAAATGACATCTCTACCCCACTAATCAAAAAAGATTGTAGCAAAAGCCTGCAGTGCTCTTAGAGCACTTGTCAGCCTGCGTTTGCCAGGTACTGCACTGGTGTCAAGCGCAGCCAGGCTGTGTTATTACAGATTAGTCCTTCAGTGTAATTTTAAAATTAGAACTGCTTGCTGCCCTGGCTGTTCAGCCTAACAAAAGCTCTGCATGATGATACAGCGCATTCGGGCTCTTGCTCCCCTGTTCTGTCTTTCACAAGCAGCATCAAGGTCAGGAGTACTCAGCTACAGACGGTGTCCTTCAATGCCGTCACCCTATTCTTCGAGTTGCTTCCGTAGTTGTAAATTAAGCATCTCCAAATTGCATTTTTATCAGCTGCTGACCTTGTACCCGAAAGTCTCACAGAGCAGAGGATTGCAGTGGTGGTGTATAGTCTTATTTAAACTCTGCGCTCTATGCGTTTGATGCTAGATTTGGCTGAGACTCCAATAAACAACTGTTTCGTAACAATGACACTCTGCATTTAATTGAGAATGATTCCAGTGTATTAACTGCGTAAAATAAACTGGTGCCTTTCCATGTACTTTAATTCAAAGAGGCAGTTTTGAGATTCTAAAATTCAAAGTCTTTCAGTTTATGAGCCTTGAATGTTAATAACTAACAACAGAAACATCTCTAGTCTCCCCTTTTCTTTTTTTCCTGTTGTGGTTCTTTTTACTTTAATTATGCATAAGGAATCACTCCAGTTTTCCATCACTGTTTTAAGCTCTATCAGGATTTTCCATATATATGCATCTTCAGCCATAAGTGTATGAAGTTGGTTTCTGACAGTCTATAGGTACATAGCTGGTCACGTGTAGTATGTAGGCAGTGCACAGTCATTGACTTCTTTTCATTTGTTATATGGTTGAGAATTTACCATTGACCTACTGAAAGTCTGTTGAAGGCATCAGTCCTCTCTCTGCTCTCTGTGAAGTAGATTTAGCAGGGGTACACAGTAATGACAGCTGAAGAGAGCCTATCATATATCTTCCATTTTATTCACCTATTTTATTCTCATTTTATCCTTCTTAAGCAGGAGATAGAGGCATCCAAGGCTAGATCATCTTTTATTGGTAGCGTGCCAAAGTAGGATTTATTTTCAACAATATTTCATCTTGCCAGTCCTTCCAACCATTTCAGGCATCCTCCCTCCTCCCATATTTATGAAACTATATATACAGCTTTCCTATGAGAAAGCAGCTGCTTGGAAATGCTTGTGGATAACACACGAGCTAACCTTCAAGTTCAAAACTGCCAGCCATGCAAAAAGTGTGCAGAGTACAGATTCCAGCCAAAGCATTCATCAAGTTGTCCAGGCGTCTGTCAGCTACCATATATCAAGGCTTTCGTTTGTCTTGTGCAACTTCCATAGCCAAACTAAAATACACAGATACAGATTTGTATACAGAGAACATGAGCAGAGCTCAGGAAGGAGTATTGCTGAATATTGAAGTGAAATGCATTTTTGTGCATATAAGCTGTGAGAAACAAGACAGACGTTTCTGGATGACAGAAGTTACAAACATTCAAGATTGGAGTATGAGAGAGACAGTTTGGTAGTTCACAGTGCCTTGCTTGTGTGCTTGACAGCTCTGGGAGTGCAGAGTGCCTGCCTGGTAGGGAATAACATTATGGATAAGAAAGCATGTTTCTATAGAAAAAGGCTGTGCTCCTTTTAGGGAAATATTTGCAAACCCTTCATAAAATTTGGGGCATCAGTGTTGGAAGGATGCTCCTACATGGGCAATATCAGCATTGTTCCAGACAGACAAATCCACATTGTTAATAGTCATGACTTCTCCTCAAAGTGTCAGCTTTGGTTGGGACTCATGGGCAGCTCAAGCACCATGAAATGGCCTAAAACAGAGAAGAGAAGTGTAAATGCTGAGCAGAGAGCAGGCAGCAAAGGATGCTGTTAGGTCAGAGCCCTCCCATGTCAGATCCCAGCTGGTCCTTCTGGGTCACTGGGCCACCCCAGAGGTTTCCTCCGCTCCATCCCTCATGGGCAGAGTTAGCACTGGGGGGTTGCTGCTCAGTGCCGAGCCATTTGCGGGGTGCAAGAGTAGGGTCAGGGACTGGGATTTCTGTGTAGCCTCGTGAGAACTGTGCCCCAGCCATGGTGTGACAGTGAGAGGGATGCTCGGGTATCCAGTTAGAAGGGGTAACTGGTTCAATCACTCAACAGACGCTAATGAAGCGCTGCTTTTAAGTTACCTGTCAACAGGTGACATGTTTGGGGTCTTTTGTGCTGCCTGACTCTCTGGTGGGCAGGTTCCCCGACGCATACATTTCTATAGGCGTCAGCTATAGGCAAAGAGGATCCCTCTGCTCACACCAAGTTAGGCTTCTCCAGCAGCTATGAAAAAAAGTCAAAGGGAAATGAAAAAAAGGAGAAAGAAGCTGCACAATTCCTTTTCTTGAGAATAAGGGCAGTTAGCTGTACTCTGCAGCATGGCACTGACAAGCTGAGACAGCTGCCTTAGAGCCAGTGTGTTCAAACATGCTGCCGTTATCCTGTTACATGAATCAAAACCAGCACGCACCAGCTTTCAGCTGGATTTCATTATTGTGATTTATATCATAGAGACTTGTTGTCTCGCAGGAAGCAGCAATATTCGGAGTACTGGAGGGGGGAGATTGTTATCAACAGGACAAAATTGACAAATCTCTCTGTTTAAAAATAGCCATACCTCCTTACCATTTTCAGTTTTAAGCCCTCTGCTTATTCTCAAGCCTTGGAGTGCTTTGCTTTAAATACAGTTTTAACGAAGAGCTTTTCTCCTTCTAAAGACAATTTCAGCTGAATTCTGGCAAGCCTCCCATGGGCTGGAGGAGCCCCAGGTAAAGCAGACGGTGACTGCAGGCGGCTGTGGGGAAAGGTACACCCTGAAGGGCTGCTGCTGCTGTGCGGCAGAGCCCAGGGCTCACTGCCCCTCTGCACTGTTGCCCGCAGAGCTGGAGTCACACTGGCACCTACTTGCTAGAGGTGAAAGCAACTGAAACATGCTGTCCAGCATGGTTTGTGTGCAGCCCTTCAGCTGTGTCCAGAGGCTGGCCAAGGCCTCCCTCCGCTGCTGAGCCCCGTCTGCTGTGAACTGGTTTCTGTTGTGCACATGAGGTTGGTTCGTGATTGCGTACTCCTTCTCTGTGCAAGGGAGCATGGTTACGTGGAGAGAGCCAAAGGCAGGTCTGCCAGGAGAAAACATAATCACTTTGAGGGAGATAATTAAGATAAAACTAAGGAGCTCTGTGGTAATGGAAAGCAAATAATGGGCAGTTAGGTTTGCAGTAAAGCATGGAATAAGGTGTAGTATAGTGTAGCTTTGCACAGTAACAGAGAGCTCACTTTCTAGGATTGCCCAAGACAACCAAAAAATGCTGGCAGTAACTGAAATCAACTTTGGATTTAGTAACTAAAATAATATTCAGATTTAGTAGCAGGTAACCTTTATATGCTTAGCGCCTCTTGACTCTGTAAGTAAGCAGCATGGAGCAGCATTGACTGATGTTTCTGTACACTGAATAGCAGTTGGCACTGGTGTGAATTACGTTATGTGGCTTGTTTCAGTAGTCCTTTTACAGCAGTACTAAGAGGAACCCTCCTAAAACCACATAAAACTCCCAGTGTATCTGTGTGTCAGAAGCACCCGACTTGCTGATGATCCTCTAGCAGCAAAACCAAGGAGTAGGCAAACAGGCAGCAATATCACAGAGAAAGAAAGGAGAGGAGTAATCGGTAAGATCTTAATTCTCCTGCTTCAGAGGGCTGAGCCCCGCCACATGAGAAGCTTTCTGCAACGAAGAGCCACGGCCACATGAGTGCATGCATATATCCTTCCAACCTCATCAAGATTAAAACCAGACAGACCCACACATTCAGTTGAAGCCTTTCCCTCCGTCCCTGGGTAGGATCAGGTTTCTTCTCCCTATCTTTTCCTCTCTTTTTTATTCAGGCAAGGTACCGCGTTGCCTGCCTCAGCATCCAGACAGCATATGAATATTTAACCTCAGTGGCACTGCAGCGTCTGCCCGGACCTGCGCTCAAGCTCATCTGTATGCATGAGAGCAGCAGGGGTGGCTGCAGAGGGTTGATGTGACTTTCCTTAATAGGAGTGAATTTCCTTAAGAAGTTATCCTCTTTACTGAGCAAAATTTGGACTAATGCTTAACACATAGCTGTGTTGGAGAGAGCAACAGCTGCCCAGCAGAATTACCTGCCACGATGTAGTGGGAAGCAGTTTATCTGGACAGATAATGGTTCTCACATGGCAAATCAGATAGCAGAAAGGCTCACATTTTAAAACATGTATGACCCTAACAACACCCTGTGGCAAGAAGCTGTTTTTTTCCTCTCTATTACAGTATGTTTACCTCAGATCCTGCTGTGTGCTGTTCAGGGGAAACACATGCTCTGCTTTCTTTTCAATTGCTTTAAGTATCCATTGTTGTTTCAGTACTGTATCTCCTAAATAAAATGCAGGAAAAAATTAGGTGTTTTACTCCACTTCATGCTCATTTCAGAACCAGACGAGAACATGGTTGGGTAACAAGAGTTGTCCGGTTGCTCTCCAGAGCCATTACTCTGTCTCCTCCTCAAGCCCTTCCTTGTACTATTTTAATTATTGAAAAAAACTGCAAGCAAATGTACGCTGTCTGTGGTGGCCAACAGTTTGTACCAGCAGTTCCTCTGCAGAGTCAGTGTGAGAGAAACTCACAGCAAGTCTCAGAACTGCATGGACATATGCACACAAAATCTGGTTGTCAAATCAGTTACTGTGGTGGTCTTTTTTGGTTTAACAAGACTTCTCAGCTGGGTTTTATCCACCCATATTTAGCTTAAATTCACTCCTAGCAGTACCTGGAGGATCTTGATAAGGTATGTATTGTTCAAGGCTTGTGCTGAATGGTCATCTCAGACTTCAGATTACTTGTTCTGATGGAGCAGTCACAAATTGTTGCCCTAATTCAGACTTAATTTCCCCTCTACTGAAAGCACTGGAACTGACTGGCACTTCTTTGGTATTCCTTGCTTCTGGGAATTGCATGATGTTGTTTGTTACAAACTAGAAGAGTAACTCTCTCTTGACCATGTGTTACAGACCACAGTCATAGACTACGTGAAGCCATCAGATCTCAAGAAGGACATGAATGAGACCTTTAAGGAGAAGTTCCCTCACATCAAGTTAACCCTCAGTAAAATAAGAAGGTACATTGCTAAGCTTGGTAAGGCTGCAATGTGATGCAGCTGTCTCACATTTCAGTGCAATTGCTGCTGTACATGAGGGGAAGCACAGCATTAGTTGATCTTCGAGGATCAGTGAGGTGCAGAATAAGTCAGATGATTGATTTGATTAGTGGGCTGAGTAAAGAAGATAGGGGAACACACAGACACACACCAGTCAGGTGTCAAACGCGACATCTAAAGGGATGAGAATGTGAGCTGGGTACGCACTATACTGAAATACCCAGAAAACAAACGCAGGGTCTCTAAGCTCATGGCACTTAGCTTAAAAAAGAGACTGAGGAAATAGAAATGCTGACTTTTGTGCCTTGTCCAGAGCATGGCTAGAAGCAAAACGTCGGTTTCACAGCAGAGTTGTAGTATTTCATCACTGTTTCCAGTGTAGCAGGCTAGACATACTGCTTCACTGAAGTAATGATAATTTCATTAGACTGAAGGAGGAGGACACTGAGCCGTGTTGCTCTGTAACCAGACAATACTGCAGTACATGGGAAGACTGTTGGTATGGATTTGACCAACCATAACCAGAAGCAAAGCTGCATGTAGAGCACAAGCAATCAAGCTGTTGTTACTAAATAAATTGTATGCAGCTTAAGACCTCTGATGAAATACTGTTGCTAAAAACATCAAAGCTTTTCAGTTGCTTTTATAGTGTGACACAACTTTCTGGGGGCGGTGAAGGGGAAGGGCGAGTTTAAAATGTGCCGTAAAATGTGTCCCCAAAACAGAGCATAAAGGTATCTGCCCAGTAAATTATCTTTTCCTTTTCCCTTCCATTTGACTAATCAGGAATTTCTGAAAGGATAATTCTTACCATGAAATAAGAAATGCTTTAAAACGCAGTTCAGAGCGTACTTGTCTGGTCTCTTTACTCAGCTTGAAGAGAGAAATGCGCAAGCTTGCTCAAGAAGAGTGTGGTTTTGAAGAGCCCACGGTGGCCATGGCCTTTGTCTACTTTGAGAAGCTCGCTCTCAAGGGGAAGCTGAACAAGCAGAATAGAAAGCTTTGTGCTGGAGCCTGTGTTCTTTTAGCAGCCAAAATTGGCAGTGACCTCAGAAAACATGAAGTCAAGCATCTTATAGATGTACGTATCCGTAGGTTTCCAGTGTTCCTTCTACATGAAATACCGGTATGTGGTCTATTCAAGCCAGCTTGTCAGTGGTCATGCTGTCCTTTAGGTTTCCAGCTGTACAGGCAGCTAAATACCTTTTTTTGTTATACATTTATGTGGAAGTAGCAGTGATCAATGTCACTGCAGAGGTGTGGGAAGCTCATTTGATGTGATTGAAAACTCTGGTGTCAGATACTGTGAGGTCTGAGAGGTATCTGACCACCATTCATACTACGCGTGTAGCTGGGTACTTGGCTACAACCAGCTCAGTTGAACAGACGTGGGAACTTGGCTGGGGGGCAGGACTGGACTCATGCTGTTCTACCACAGTCACAGAGTTGGGCTGGCAGTCAGTTTGTTAGAAAGCCCTCTGAATAGCTAGGGAAAAGAATCAACCTGGTGGGAGTTGGAAGATCTGGCCTCTCTTGCTGTCCTAAAACATTGATCCATCCTTAAGACACATTGAGTTTTTCCACAGACACAGTGGGCAGAGAAGTAGCAAGCCAGGGAGATCATAAGAAGGGTGGGAGGGAAATATCCCTAAACAGCTGGCTGCCTGCTTGTAGCATCCAAAGCCAGTGAGAACAGCAGAGCAGATGGGAGGTCTAGTACAATACAGCAGAAAGCCAACTATGAAACCCATCTATCCTCCCTTGAGGATAGTAGTTTCTATTACTTGCTGTTCTTATAGTTGTTGCAGATGACAACTGAGGTATTAAGATCAAATGTATCTAATTGTAGCAGAAATAATTTCCCCAATAGGGTGTTGTAACACAGTCTGATGGTGAAAGGAAAATTAGTGATTTCAAGCAGTGCGGGAAGTTTGTGGGCAGACACATGTCTTCCATTACACAAGTAATTTCAGTGTTTGCATGAAGGCAGGAGTTCCCTCTTCCTGCAGTGGTGATCACTGTGATCATTAGAAGATGCAGCTGCTGGAGGTGGAATGAGCGAAATGATGAACGTGTCAGAAATAGCATGGCTGGCTAAGCTTTAGGAGCTCACCTTCACACGAAGGAATCGGTACATCCATTTCATCCTGCTCTCATTTTCTAAACCTAGAGCCATGCAAGTCCAGTGGGACAGGGGTTTAGTGACAGCAGCATGCGTGTTTTGAGTCATGTCATCTCTAAGAAGGCACGAGAAAGTCATATCCGCATTCACAAAGACTTTGTTCTGTTTCCTCGGCTGTCCTTGCAGAAACTGGAAGAGAAGTTCCGGCTGAACAGGCGAGAGCTGATTGCCTTCGAGTTCCCAGTGCTGGTGGCCTTGGAGTTTGCTCTCCACCTTCCCGAGCACGAAGTGATGCCTCACTACAGACGCTTGGTGCAGAACTCCTAGCACTGGCTGCCCGGCGGGGAAGGGGCTCCCGACTGTTCCCGCTTGGCTCTCCTGAGCCGCAGTTACTACTGGAAATGCAAAATCAGACTCCTGACACTTCACTCTCTCTCTCCCCAGAACAGTTTTTCTGACAATGTATAGGAAATACTGCATTGACTCAAGACTCTCAGCTTTGACAGATTTACGTTATCATTACTTTCTCAAGGCAGGTGAAGACTGAGCTGTTGGTAAATGGTTAACGTGCTGAAACTGGGTGGGACTGGCCCTATCTGTGGGGACTACAGCTGTAAAAATAGGCAAAAATTAGAAGGGCAGCCTCCATGACCACCCCTCTCTCCATCACACAAACCCTGGAAGCCCACGTGAGTGCATTCTCATAGCGCTTTTTCTACCGACCTGCTGCAAGTTCCCAGAGGACTTCTTAAAGTGAAAAAGCTTTTAAAGAGGATATCTTCACTGTGTCAAAAAGAATGTGCCAATCTATTTTTGTATCAGCAATTGAAAGTGCACTTTTTCCTGTGGGGTGTTTGTGTGTGTACTCGTGTGTGTGTGCGTGTGCGACACCGAACTGATCTCAGTCCAGGTGGTTGGCTTAGCTGTTTCCAAGTGTCTCAGTTACCGATGGCTAAGATCAAGGTGACCTTACATGTTTACTTCTTGAAAAACATAACTACTGGAAAAGTGGTAAATGGGATCATTTTTGGACACTTGGGCTTTTTTTATTCTCTGATCTTTCACACATTGTACTTTTGAAAGGATTACACTACTACTACTATGAGAGAAGGATCAGCAACTGACCTTAAGTTTTCAGTCATGTTTGTGATAAAGACGAAAGCATTAGTATGAGATTTCCATGTCATGTTTTTTAAAAATATCTTGTGTTAAGCCACATGCATATTTTTAACCTTCGCACTTTTCCCACTGTGGAGATGGTTAGACTTGCACTCTGTAGTGTTGTATTTCTGTGCTCTATGTTAGAGTGCGTAATAAGCACATTTATTGTGCTCTATCTTAAAACAGTGTTTTATTAAAAAAAAAAAAGAAAAAAGAGTAGGGCTCAGCAGCATAACAGGTGTCTTAAGGCTCCAACACCAGGGGCATCAGCTATTAAAGGTTTGGGTTGTAACTAGAATTGAATGTGCAGAACCTAAACTCAGTGCCCATTGAAGTTAGAGGTCCAGCCCCTTTAGACATTTCAGTACTGGAGTTTTACAGTAAAACTTCTTGCAGCTTCCCTGGTTCTGACTGGACACCCAGAAATCTGGAGGGTTTCATCCAAGTCCCCCAGTGCTACATACACACTAAGCTAACGCCGTGCTGATGGACATCATTTGATTGCTGTTAATCCTGTGGGATTACACCCCTGTCCAATCTTCTCCTGTGCTGGTTCACTTAACCTTGCCCTTCACGTGCCCCACACGTATCTGGCAAAGTCAAATACTTAAATTTATGGTAATTCTATGAAATAAATTATAATCTCGACTGTGAGATTTTAGCTGAAGCCTTACCTCTCTAAGTTTGGGAGTGCTTGCTCAGAGTATGGAAAGGGCTTGTGAGCAGAACATAGAGAAGTGGGACATACCAGAAGATACAAACACACTAATGCTTACTTTCTTTCGCTCTTGCTTTAATCAGTTTTATTGTTTCCTTCAGTTAGGCCAGGAAACATCCGGTTTCTTTACCAGCTTTGAATCCTTTAAATTCTAGTGTGTAAAATGCCTGCATATGATTGCTTTATAGGATCTGGAAAGGTTACACATGTCAGGACAAATGGGAATTTGATGCTGTGGTTCTCCCTCCATTTTAAGGGGGAGGGTGACTATACTAGCTTACAGTTACTATCAATACTTATCTAATTACAGATATAGATACATTCCAACAGGATTGGGGAAGAGGGGGGAAAGAGAGAAGCGTGCACTTAACCTCCCTGGTGCAGTGCCCCACATCGCTGCAACCCATGTGTCACTCGCTCGGCTGCAGAACAAGGAGAGGGGGCCCTTGCCAGTGCTCCTGCTCCCTCCTCCTCCTCCTCTCAGCCTTCATGCAGCCAAGGAATAGAGGAGCCAAGAGCCTGGAGCGTGCCTAACCCTTATATCTGCCTTGTTTCTTCAGCTCAGAAAGGCAGCATAGTGTTGACCTACAGGCCTGAGGGTCTGCTAGGAGGGCTCCCATCCTTGTCTGCATCCCTTTCCACCAAAATCGTGTATATACGTTCAAGATAAGCTTCTGATTGCAGAGATCTGTTTCTAATAGCAACCACTCAAGGCTAAGCAGAAGCTTTACCTTTCCGTAAAGGCTTCTACCTTTTGTTTTGAGTCTGATTTTTTTTTTTTGTTTCTTAAATTGCTTTATACTGTTTGCAGGGAAAAAGCAAATTGTGATTGCAAGATGCAGACTAAAGAATGACAGTCTCACAGTAGTCTTTAGAGACACTATTGAATCACACTGTCACATCTTTTGTTTTCTGTGCTGCTACCCAACCCTGATATACAGTTTACACAGATTTCTGGGATGAAATCTCATTGCTGGAGACTTTCTGCTTTTCGTTGTTGTTGTTGTTTTGGGGGTGGAAGAGGGTTTCAAAGTGATGTTCAGTTACAGTTTGAATGTGGAATAAACGCTTAAGATGGTGATGATGTTGCACTGTTCACTTAGGAACATATATAAAGCCATATGATGCTAGATCTCAGAGCACAAAGCTTGGTCAGTACAATTCTGGTTAGGACAATGGGCAGGATTTGCCCCCCTTTCCTCCCCAACCTTGGGAAAATTCAGGCTGAAGTGGTAGAGGAAATCTGTACCAAACAAAACCCATGTTGATTGTTTTCCTTTGTCTTACATGGTAACGAGTGTTGATTTACAAACGATTTTAGGTTCAACTTTACATAGTTTGGGAAAATAATCCATTCCACATCACTTTTTCTGTTCTGAAATGATACCATACACTCTACCATGCAGAGTTTATTCCTTTTCTAAAAAAATAAATAAAAGTTTTAAAAAAATTGAAAACCCAGACTCTTGGCCACCACTGACAGTATGTAAAATGACTCTGTTCTCTCATCTGTATGTGTTAAATGGTTTTGGTTTTGTCTTCCTCGGGGACATAAAGCTGCTTATTAATAACCCAATGGTGGGATTGCCCAAGGGCCCTCACCATCTCCTGGCACTCGTCTCCCTGAAGAGCCTGCACTTCCAGGATCTTTCCTCCAGCCAAGATCTTAATCTTCTTCCCAGACCCCTGTTTTGGTGGTTTTTAAGACCTTTTTGGCACCAGCTCCTCCTCCAGCTGCCAGGCTCTGGTTCTCCCAGCGCAACCCATTGGTGTGCAGGACAAGGCACAAGCGGGCTCCTCAGCATTGCTTTTGTCTCGCAGCCCCTTGTTCACTGGAGAACGTGTGATTTACTCCAGGTGGTAGTAAAATCTACATCTGGCCCCCTTACCAGTTGTAATTCACAAGCAGCAACTTCTGCTTAGGAGGTTGAATGTTCAGTCTTGAACATACATGTGCGCACCCCCAAATATCCACCACCTATTGGTGTTCAAGCTATTTCTTCCCACCCATGACACCCCTGAAGTCCAACACGGAGCTACGTGCTGTCACCAGACACCCATTTTCATTCCACGGTAGTGAAGTTCTGCAAAAGGTTTGGCTCCCTACCTCCACCCACCACTGGATTCTCCAGAGCCCCTCGGCTGTAAATCAGTCATGTTTGTGTCAGTAGAAACATCAGCTGGATTTACACAGACTGCAGAACATACAAATACACAGAAAAATGCTTTACTAATCATTTTCCAAAACTACTCACAAACAGGCAATGGCTTCTTTGGGGCAGTCTGTAGCGAAATGGTACAGCTTCAGCTAGTTGTTCCAGCCTCCTAAAATAGAGACCACAGCATAAGCCTTCCCTGGAAGCGGTGAGGAGTAACTTGTTAGGAGACAGTAACACCCTCCCACCATGCTAAAGGATTTTGGCACCACACATTAAATATTCAGATTAAAAAGGGTAAAAGTAGTTTAGCGAGGTGAGAGACTGAGCAATCACAGCAACAATGCCAACATCACTAGCTGCGGCTGAAATCTGTCCCAAGTTGCACCTTTCAGGAGGGAAGGAAGGGGTGTGGGAGGCAGATCTGAATTAAATTGTTGATCTTATATTGTAAACTTTGTAGTGAAGGGGGGAGAGGGGGGGTGAGGAGAGAGAGTAAAAAGGATAAGAAACCTCAGGTGCCATCCCTTCAAGGAAAGTTGCACACAAGCAAAAAGGTTCAGGTTAGATACGAGGAAGAGGGTGGTGAGGCATTGGCACAGGTTGCTCAAAGTGGTAAATGGTCCACCTCTGGCAGTGTTCAAGGCCAGGTTAGATGGAGCCTTGAGCAACCTGATCTAGTACGAGGTGTCCCTGCTCATGGTAGGGGGGTTGGAACTAGGTGATCTTAAGGTCCTTTCCAACCCAAACCACTCTGTCATTCTATGGTTCACTGTGAGCTTACAGAGCCGGAGGCTCCCTGCCTCTGCCTGGGGCCTGCTGATCCAGATGGGCTCAGAGGAGAGCTTTCCAGTCACTATAAAAATAAACCTTGCCCAGACCCCAGCAGCAAATACCAGGACCAAGAGTGAGAGGAGAAGCAGTGCTCATAGTGCGCTACCACAAAAGAGCAGAAGCCATGATCCCGGAAAATGGCCTGTATACCTTTAAAGCAAGGTGGAGGGGACCAAGAAGGTGCTGTTGACTTGAGCAGTCAAGTACTTCCTTCCTTAGTGAGAACTAAATATTGGCTAATATCAAATTAATTTGTCCTTTCTGTGCATACACCCCTTCCCATAATTTTGCTGAGCATCATCCTAAACCAGCTAGGACCTGTGTCTCTGCTACACTGTTCAGTCACGCGCCAGGATTTAATACCTCAAACCAGAAGAAGCCTTCGAGTTTGCAGTCAAATTTCGTTGGTGACTAATCAATAAGCTTTTGAAGTCACGTCAGTATTTCATTGAACTGAAACTGAAATCTTTCCCCTGTGGGAACTCTGGGATCAGGAGGTCCTCAGCAGCAGCTTTGTTAAAAAGGTTCTGGCATTTAGTTAGATAAGATAAAAGGAGAATGGAGAGGCAAGAAAATTATCCCTTTCCAAGAGCTTCCAAGCACAGTGAAGTGTTGCCTTGGCTAACATCAGTGGGTACGTACACTGAGGAAGAAGCTGTGCAAGCCAGGCTTTCGGAAGCACTGATGTAAGACCTAAACTGCCCTTGTTTCAATCAGCATCCTTGACTAGCCTTTACATTCTCCTTCCCTTCCAAGCACATACAGACATGTATGTTTGCTGACGACACCAAGCTGTGTGGCT